TTTCCAAAAAAAAAAAAGAAAAAAAAAAGATGGTTTTAGAAGTGTTACTTCGTTGGATTACGTTCCCTGTCTGTTTTGCCCATGGGATGGGTAATTCCATGACATCATTGACTATCCGTGGGTAAGACACTATTGATTTTTTGTGTTCTTAGTCGGTAGTGGGTAAGTAGGATGAAGCATTGAATATTTTGTTTATGTGTTGGTTGGTGGTCTGTTATCTAGCTTGGATTTCACTAGATTAGGGTTGTTTCATAATGGTGATTTGGAGAAAGGGGTAGATTAGGATTTGAGTCTTGTTAAATTAGGGAATGTGAAGTTTGTTTTAGGGTTGGGATTGGGATCGTAGGTTTCGTAACCTTGGTAGGTGGAGATTAGTGAACGTGAATTTTGTTTTAGGGTTGGGATTGGGATCATTGGTTTACGTAACCTTGTGAGGCTGTGGTGGGGATAGGTTTGGCCGGGAGTGCCTGACTTAGCCCGTTTGACCGCAGCAAATGATGTAAGGGACACCAGGCCCGTTTCCCGGATATATGAATATGAATTGTGTTCTTGAAAAAACAAATGAATGTACACAAGGAAACGTTAAATGGATTTGGCAGTTGTGAAACACAACGATTTTTTTGTGGCCTACGATGGCTCATCTCTTGCCGTCTCTGTCTCTACAGCGCTTTGATGTGCCTGTGTATCTTTTAGAGGCACACCCTTGCACTTTGTGTGCCGTGACCCATATTGCAGATATTTGGGCGCACTGGCGCCTCCAATATGGGTCACTGGACACAAAATGATGGGCAAGCGGAGAACACCACTGGAGTTTTGGAGAAGTGGGGAAGTGGAGAATTCGTGTTGTGTATTGCTGTTGTAGAAGGTGTTTAATTTCTGGGCAGATAGAGAGAGCATTGGTGATTGGGGTACTAGGCATAGGGAGGGGTCATATTGTTCATTGCAGGGTATACAAATGAAATGACTGCCTTGGGTATCTCCTTTGAGACAAAAAAACTGAGCTTTGCACAATTGCTGCGGTTTGGGTTAAGCCTGGCTGGAGAGCCTGGGCTCATCCCTGTAGGGCGCCGCTTCTGATGTGAGGGACGCTGGGGCTGTTTCCCAGCCTGCAATGGAATTTTCTTTCCAAAAAAAAAAGAAAAAGACCAGACTTCGAGAATGCAGAGAAACTGAAAAAGGAGAGGGAAAAAGAAAAAAGCAGTGTGGTTTTCAAAAAAAAAAAAAATCCAGCGGCCTAGCTCTCAGGAGGTCTTGGGTTCAATCCCCATTGGCCTCATGCACCTTCCTGGGCAAGCTTGGCGCCCGCCACCTAGAGATATGCCATTGGTCCCCCCGAGTGGCGTTGAGAAGAGACTGCTGATGTTCATAGGGGGAGGGGACTGGAGGGGAGGCACAGTGACTGGCCCATGGAAGAAGCTC